ATCCCCCGAGGGGTCCCAGACTATGAGAGGGCACAGGCTGAACTGCCACACAGTGCAAGTTTCATATACTGGGCCTTTAGTAAAAATATATTAAAAAATAATATAAATTCTGCTCAAGATAGAATTATTGAAACTATCCTTTATTCTTCAGTCTGCTTCATAGCCTGTACCAAGTAAATCCCATATTCTGTCATTCAATCTTAAGAAGTCTCTGAAACCTGTCTTCTATTTTCCAAAGACACATCATCATTTTTCACACACTACCACCAACAAGCTCTTTAAAGATTTCGCCAAGAAAACTCATTGACATTAAAATAAAGTTGAAATTGCTTATATTTCTCAAATGTCACCTCTCTTATAAATTCTTTAATTCCCCTAGGCATAGGCGAAAGCTCCATCTTCTTTCATCCCACACTTTGTCCACATTATTATGACATTTTTAGCACATTATAGTGAAATGATTTGCTCACCTGTTTACTGGCATAGACCTACTCCTGTGTATTAATTGTTTTTTGTATTTCAAGTGTTTTTGAATTATCCTTGGCTTATGGTAGGCTATCAGAATGATTAGATAACTAATAACAATTTATGATCTAAATGTTGAAGATTTTAAAACATAACTAGAAAATTCCTCAGTATAGAAGGAGAAATAAGCCTATTTCAAAACATAAATCCATGGTGATTCTTACTCACTTATTAAAGGATTAAGCATCTAAGATTTTTATTGGTATTTTATTCATGTTTAACCTTTAGAGGAATTAGGTTGGCTTCTATGATAATTAAAAAAACAAATGCTATTTCTTAAGGTAATTATAGAGGATAAGGAGGCACTTGTACATCAATGCTGCATGTGGCACCCTCTGATAACTTCATATTGTACCATATGACTGTCATTGAAGCCATGATAAATTGCCTTTTGAAATCAATATTGAGTCTCATTCATTACTTTCTTAGGTTCCATGCTTTATATCAAAAAGACAAATGCCAAGATAAATTTACACTTTGTAAAAAATATTTTTTTAAAAAGAACTCCAGGACAACATTGGAAAACCACTTTCAAGGACAAGAACTCATAGCTCACATTCCATGTATGAGTATGATGTATCTGTTTATATTTTAATTTAGAAAGGTACCAATGACACATTATTAACTTTCTAATACTTGGAAATTTTTGTTTAATTTTGCATTAATCACATTTGTGAACTATAACAAAAGTTCTAGAATGTAAAGTTACATGGAAAAGGTAATGGATTGTATTACATAAATAAATATTTATATTACATGTATTTATTTATTCAGATTATATAAAATATGCAATAGTTTTATGGTGTTGTGTATCCAATTATAATATTATCTACTGAAAGAATTATAAAAGTATTTAAAATATTTCTGGTTTATTGAAATGTTTTAATATTGGTATAATTCTAATTTATTAATAATATTGCCATATTGGTTTGATATCAATAATATTTGTGCTTTATCATTTTACAAAGTGTTTTTCATGTTCCAAAACATTTAAAAATAGTTGACAGTGGCAAAAATTATACTAGGTGGGACTTGTTATTCAAAGTTCAATGTTATTTGCATAATACCAGAATACTAGGTGGTGCAGAAGTGTTCTATACAGGTGATATACTGTGATGATGCCACTATTATCCTTATTAAAAGAAATATTCTAAAGACCTTAACTCTTCACAAATTAAATTTTATGGTACACTTGTACACACTAATTTATCAGTATATTCTCAGCCTTTATTTAGCTTAGTGATTTCTTGTCTTAATTATTCTGCTATTCTTGTTTTTTTGTTTGTTTGTTTGTTTGTTTGTTTTTTATCTCTTTAAAGTATAACCAAAATTCTGAAAATGTAGGTAAGGGCCTAATTTGAAGACTCTAGTACTAGCATTTTTTTTTCTTGAGGTAAGTTTTAGAGTTTTTTTCTCCTATTTTATTTATTTTTTAATTAAAAATTTTGGGGGTATCATTGGTTAATAAAATTACACAGGTTTCAAGTACACATTTCTTTGATACATAATCTCTATAAAACTAGCATTTTTACTATTTTTTGTTTATATATTTTTTAATTTCATTATTGATTAAGGTGTTACATATATTTCCTTATTCCCCCTTTAACCTCCTCATCTCCCCCACTCATGCCCTTGCCTTCCTGTTGTCTGTGTCCATTGGTTAGTCTTATATGGATGCATACAAGTCCTTTAGTTGATTTTACTATTTTTATTGATTTTTTTTTTTTTTTTTTTAAGAGAGAGGGAAACATTGATGTGAGAAAGAAACATCAATTAACTGCCTCCTGCCTGCCACCTACTGGGGATTGAACCTGTAACTGGGTATGTGCCCTGATTGAGAATCAAACTGGCAACCTTTTGTAGCATAATGCTCAACCAACTGAACCACACTGGCCAGGACCTGGCATTTTTAAATATTTTAATAATTATACTCACTTAATACATATTGCATTTCTAGAGAAAATCTATACATCATATTTCCAACATCACAGAATCCTAGTAAGGAAAACCATTATGACTATACTCTTTTTTTATATAAAAAATAAAACAAATTTCTACTAAATAATATAGCAAATTGCTAGTTAAGAAAGAACTGAAATCCATATTCCATATTACCTAATACATGCTCTGTTCAACACCTGTATGTTTATACTTTATTTTGTTCGTGATCAAAGAAAATTTTACTTTAAAATGAAGTATCCATTAAATGGACCTTTTTATGATTCCACATGTTTTCCTATTGGTGAAGTAAGATTAAAATCTGAAGGACAATATTTTCTAAGCCTATGTCTGCAACATGAGTTGCCAAAGGAAAACTTGACTGGGGATAAAGAATCAACTTTGGAAAATTATAAATGGTCATAAAATATGTCCCTGAACTCTTACTTCTGCACCTAAGCAGGTTTTATTTTTCATAGACAGAATTCTTCCAACATCTATTTAATATTGTAGATTGTTTTAGTATAGATACAATTACCATTATATACATATATATATATATATATATGCTTACCTAAATAAATATAGATATGTATTATCTATCTATATCTATCTATCATCTATCTATTTATCATATATCTATCATCTGTCTACCTTTCTGACTTTTATCTTGCTGTAATCCAAATAATAATGAACTACCAAAGGATGAAGATATTAAAAACAAAAAAAAACAAAAAATAGAATTGATTTGGAAATAGAGTGTAAATAAATGTAGTTAAGATGCAATTATTTTGAACTTAGGAAAATTTAAAGTAAAATGTAATCCCAAGACCTCTTATTACAAAAGTTGAGAAAAAATACATTTGCACATCTTTTAAATGTTAGGAATAGTTCTAGAATTCTAGCCTTTGGATTTTGAACTCATTCGGTTGCCACTCTGAGTTCAGTTCATTATATCTATTTTTTCTAAAGAAGGAAGACGGTCTTAAAAAAAATCTTACTAAGGAGATTTAAGAATGAGTCATCAATCTTTCAAGTGAGCATATATCAATGTAGATTATTTTAATGTTCTAAATGCCAATATTCTCTATAAACTTTATCCCCAAAAGACAGATTATGACAGGTTAAACAGTTGGTAAATTAAAGATTAAGCAAATAATTGATGTGAAAATTATTATGATGTTATACGATATCAGGCATTAAATTTATTTGCTCCATTGTAGGGAGAGGCTCTAGAGTTAAGTCTCGAGTTGACCTGTGGCAGAGCCACAAACAAGTCCCACCTTAGAGGACAGAACCCTCTTCGCATAATTAAGCTTGACCTTATGACCACTCCCTAGATCCTTTTTGGGTAGCTAATGGGCTGTGGGAGGTGTAGCAAGTGCTGCCAAAACAAGTGAGACTCACAAGAACATTGTAACCATTGTAACTATGTTGACCGCTACCTTGTTTTTCTCTGACTATAAAACAAAAGCTTCAGCTTGCTGGCTGGATCCTTCTCTGTGGCCTCATCCAGACACAGGAGATACATCGAGCCCCAGCTATATTCTCTTTCTCTATTTTTTCTTTAATCCTTCACTACCATCCCTCAGGCTCACTGAATACTTGGTTGTGCTGGCACAGCTTCATACTGTAGAATTTAAGGGAATGCAAGGGAGGGAAGGGTAAGAGATCAACCAAAGGACTTGTATGCATGCATATAAGCATTACTAATGCCTACAGACACTAGGGGTGTGAGGGCACATGCTGGGAGTGGCCAGTGAGAGGTCACCGGGGGAAAATAATATTGTAATAGCTATGTATGGGGGTGGGGGGAAGTACTTGAAACAGCAGGAGGACCACTCTGTAAACTACATGATTGTCTAACCACTATGTTATGCTTCTGAAATGAATACAGAATAATATTAAATGTGAACTATAATTGAAAAATATGAAAATTTATATATCATATTTTTCATCACAATAAAAATTGTTTGCTCCATAGTATAGAATTTAATTTTCTACATATTACATACTTTCTCCTACCTATAAATTATTATGCCAGGAAAAGTGGTAATGATAACCTTATAGTAATTAAATTCATTATAAACACAATCTATCATTATTATTAAAGAAAGAAGCCTTTTTTAAAAATTCTTACTGCATCTAATAATTACCTCAAACAACTAATTTCTTTAAATATTGAAACAAAACTTTAAAGATAGAGAAATTCAAAATTGATTTTGCATTTTCCTTAATCTAAAATGCAGGCGCATGCTTGAGAACGTACCACAAATCTACTATCAGATTAAGGATAAAACCTAATTATTATATTAAAGATTGACTTTAAAAACAAATCTTCAGTTATTGGTCATATGATCATGATCAATTCCCTTTTAATCTTAGTAAAATAATAGGAGACACTTAAAATCCTTCCTAGTGCATACCGCAAATGATATATCTTTACCTGGATTGATTATTTGCCCTTCTTCCATCTGCAAAAAAAAAAAAAAGAACAAAGCTTTCCCAACCTACTCATGAATGCATTCCTCCCCTACCTTGGTAATGGTTTCATGAAGTTTGAAAAAAGGATCCATTTCTTCAATTTTTGTTGCAACTTTAGGGAAAAGGGCCTCTGAGAGAAAACTTGGATCCTGTGGAAAGCAGAATAAAACATTTAAAACTCTTCATTGATTTTGTTTTTCAAATGCTTATTGGATTTTCTTTAAAGATTCAAAAGGACTCTAAATTGTTTGAAGTTTTCTGTTGATTGTTGGACTTCATTCTACTTATCTGCTTAATCAATCACATATTTTTTTTAATTAAAATGAGTAGAACCCTATGACCTTTGACATTATTTGCATCTATAAAATCATGCTTAATTTTACTCAAAACAGATAATTCTTTGCAATTCTTCCTGTTTTTTTTTCTTCTCTTTAATACAGACATATATAGAACACAATACCTTGACTATAAGACCCACATCTGAAATCATTTTTTTCTATTTAATACATAAAATTTTAAATCTGGTAGAATGGGACATGTTTAATCAACATGATTACCAAAAGGATAGGCCACAAAAATATACATGACATTTTAAACATTGCAAGCTCACTTCAAAGGAATTAGGAAGATACATTTTTGAAAGAACAGTCTTATGGCTTTATAGGCTATCAGTAAAATGGTAACATGACATCAGAACCTTAGTGCTAAATGCTTTAAATGAATCAGAAAAACAGTAAGTAGTCATATTACACTTGCAGATGTAGACAAATCTCAGAATGCAAAAAGATCTACATGACATGAATATTTATGCCCCCACCAAAAAAAAAATTAATGTGCTGAAATCCTAATTTCCAAAGTAAAGATGTTAAGAGATGGGTCTTTTGAGAGGTGATTGGGACATGAGTATTTTATCCTCACTATGAGGATTAGTGTCCTTCTAAAGGAAGCCCCACAGAGCTCCCTAGCCCTTTGCTCCTTGTAAAGATATAACAAGTAATCTGTAGCCTGAAACAGGGCCCTCACCTGACCATGCTGGCACCATGATCTTGGACTTCCAGTCTCTGAGACTGTGAGAAATAAACTTATGTTGTTTATAAACCACTCAGTCTGTGATCTTTTGTAATAGCAGGCCAAAGAGACTAAGACACAAATATAGCTCTTACTTGAAAATCTGAAGTAACTAAATAATAGAAAACTTGAAAAAGGATATATGTATGTATGTATGTATATGATCTGATTAATAGTAAGATAAATAGATAGATGATGATAATAGATAGATGATAGATAGATAGATAGATAGATAGATAGATAGATAGATAAATAGATAATTTTTCTGGGGCCTAACATGGAGAAAAAACATTCAGTATAGTCAACACCAACAATAACCACAATAGCGTAACAAATTAAGGTGATTTGGAGCATTTCTTAGAGCAGAACAGACTGCTTTGGGGTACCAAAGAGTGGAAAAGAAAGTTAGGATGATGTAGTTGATAAGCTCTGAAGTCATACAGTTGAAAACATAACTGCAAATTACTATCATTAATAATTCTGTGATCAGGCATACTCTGCACCCCCTATTTTGAGTAATCCTATCTAATAAAAGAGTAATATGCAAATTGACTATCACTCCAATACACAAGATGACCACTCCAATGTGGTCAAAGATGGCTGCCACTATGTGGACACAAGATGGCTGCCTCAAGATGGCCTGCAGGGGAGGGCAGTTGTGGGCAATCAGGCCAGCAGGGGAGGGCAGTAGGGGGAGACAAGGCTTGCAGGGAAGGACAGTTGGGGGAGACCAGGCCAGCCGGGGAGGGCAGATTGGGGCGACCAGGCCAACAGGGAAGGGAAATTAGGGGTAATCTGGCTGCCAGGGAAGCAGTTAGGTGTCAATCAGGCTGGCAGGGGAGTGGTTAGGTGGTGATCAGGCCGGCAGGCAGGTGCAGTTAGGGGCAATTAGGCAGGCCAGCAGGCTAGTGGTTGGGACCCAGCTGCCCTCGATTGTGAGAGGGATGTCTGATTGCGCACTGGGTTTGGGCCAAAACAGGCAGTCAGACATCCTTCAAGGGGTCCCAGATTGGAAAGGGTGCAGGCTGGGCTGTGGGACACACCCTCTACATGCACAAATTTTGTGTATTGGGCCTCTAGTACTGAAATAAAACAAAAGTGATTCAGCTGTGTGCTCCAGCATGTATTCACTTTGGGATGATAAGACCATAAATCAACCAAACAGCTTGCCTATCATAACTAACATCATATATATATATACATATATATATATATATATATATATATATATATATACATATATATATCTTTCCTCTTTTTAGATACCTGGCAATCTAAAACTAATTTAAAAAAAAAATATCTAGTTCCAACTAGTATTTCACCTTTTTTTTTTGTATAAAATATTTTATTGATTTTTTACAGAGAGGAAGAGAGAGGTATAGAAAGTTAGAAACATCGATGAGAGAGAATCATCGATCAGCTGCCTCTTGCACACCCCCTACTGGGGATGTGCCCGCAACCAAGGTACATGCCCTTGACCAGAATCGAACCCAGGACCCTTCAGTCCACAGGCTGACGCTGTATCCACTGAGCTAAACCGGTTTAAGCAGTATTTCACCTTTTAAGACTTACCATAAAAGCTAGGCAAGAAGCTTGGAACAGATTCCCTATCTTAATCTTCAAAAGGAACCAACCCTGATTACACTTTAAAATATTAAAATTATACATTTCAGTGCAAGAGTCATTCAATCTATGGTGACTTTTTACGTCAATCCTTGTAAACCAATGCACTCAGTCCAGGTGGTGTTCTTCCCTATTGCAATAGGTCTCATAAACTTCATTTTGTTTAGCAACTGGGTTTTTGGAAATATTTTGGTCAATCACATAAGCATAGGTTAAATTTTTTGTTTTGCCACTTAATAATTGTCATCTTAATCATCAAATGATTAGTGATTGAATCTAAGAAATTTGAATGATAATATATATTTCACAGAGATGTTGTCAACTGTCCAATGCCTGAAACATGGGAGATATTATGTTACTGGCACTCACGATATTGCTAAAAACAATAAATTTTGTAATGATGATGGTGAGGGTGGTGATTATGGTAGGTAAGATGCTGAAATAAAGAAAATTCAAAAACATTATTTATTATCCTCATGAGAAATCATGTACAGGTTGTATTTAGATAGGTTTATTTTTCAGAATAGTGATATTTTTAACCTTAGTGAAAATATGACATGAATAATTTGTCGCATTCATTTCTATTTAATAATTAAGCTTGAAGTGCTTAAAAAGTTTGCTTCACAAATAGTATCAAATAAACTTCTTGAAATAATTTTATTAGTTTGCTTAGCAAAACAAAACTTGATAATTAGTGCAAAGGTAAAATATCAGCCAGCCTCAAATTAAATGATCCCATAAAGACATAAATTGGCAGTTATAATTAGTGAGGTTTTTATTGAAGTTTCAATTATTCATTAGCAAACCAATATTAGATTATCCATATATGCCTTATTCTCTAGTGTAATCCCCAATCTTTCTTCTATTTCTTCAGCTATCTCTTGCCATATCATTCTTTCATTTTTAGTACCTTGTTTGTTTAAAACGTTTAAAAATCCCAATTTAATATCTACCACGTGCTGTGGTAGGTGCTGCATTAATGCAATAGGTCCTTAATCTCATGAAGTTTAATCTAATGGAATTAAAAGTTAAAAAGTTTTTGCTGCTATTAGGGATAGCTGCTTAATATTGGGTCGGCAAGTAAGTAATTGCGGATTTTTTAAAGAAAATCAAAGACAATTTTTTCATGGAACTAAATAACTTTATTCTGTAATGTATTGCCCATTTTGATCAATGACCTCTTGCCATCTTTCAGGCAGCATCATAATCCCACGTTCAAAAAACTTCTGGTTTTTATTAGCAAAAAACTGAATCAGGTACGATTTGACATCATCATCATTATTGAAATTTTTACCATTCAAGGAGTTTTGTAAAGATCGAAACAAAAAGTAATCAGATGGTGCAAGGTCAGGACTATATGGTGGATGTGGCAAAACATCCCAACCAAGCTCCATTAATTTTTGCCGAGTGACCAAAGATGTGTGTGGCCTTGCATTGTCATGATTGAATACAACACCTTTTCGATTTGTCAATTTGGGCCGCTTTTCTTCAACTGCATTGTTTAATTTCATTAGTTGTTCAATGTAGACATCAGAATTGATCGTTCGGTTGGGTGGTAAGAGTTCAAAGTAGACAATTCCTTTGTAATCCCACCAAACTGATAACAAAACCTTCTTTTGATGAATATCAGCTTTTGATGTTGTTTGAGTTGGTTCACCTGGCCTGCTCCACGATCTTTTCTGCTTGATATTGTTGTAAATAACCCATTTTTCATCGCCAGTTATCAGTCGTTTTAAAAATGGATCATTTTCATTACGTTTCTTTAGCAAATCGCAGCTGCTAATGCGTTGCGTTAACTGTGATTCTTTCAGTTCGTGAGGAACCCATGTATCGAGTTTTTGAACATAGCCAAGTTGTTTTAAGTGATTTTCAATGCATGTATGTGATACATGAAGCTTCTCTGCAATCTCACGTGTTGTACTGTGACAGTCCGAATTGATTATTGCTTTGATTAGGGCGTCATCAACTTCAACTGGACAACCAGAGCGTTTTTCATCTTTGAGTGAAAAATCACCAGAACGAAATTTGGCAAACCAATTTTGACACTGCCGTTCTTTTAAGGCTTCGTCACCATAAACAGCACATAACTTTTTATGAGCTTGCGATGCGTTTTTCCCTTTGTGGAAATAAAAAATCAAAATATGACGAAAATGTTCCTTTTGATTTTCCTTTTTCAACGAATGCCAAACGAAAACTACAAAACAGATCAAAAAACTTTTTTTACTGATTAACAGCTGAATAGCCAACTATCAAATAACAAAATGTGTTTTACATTTTTACTACGTCTGCAAACCTAAAAATTCAACTGAAGCCATATATGTGTGAAACCCGCAATTACTTACTTGCCGACCCAATAACAGCTCCTATCAGTAGATGAAGATAGTGAAGTTAAGCACCCTTAACCATATCACAAGTGCTTTTGTTTAAAGTAATCCATTGATAGCCTAGGCCGGTTTGG